CGCCTATGATGTGAGGATGTGGATCGTATACAATATTCCACATATCCTTCCTTCACCTCCTCAATCCCCCGACCTCAACCCTATCGAGCATTTGTGGGAGGAACTAGAAAGGAGAATTAGAAAAAATAAAGTTTCTAACAAAACCGACCTTAAAAACATTTTACAAAAAGAATGGCATAATATTGGGGAGGAAGTTACCAAAAAACTAGTATCTTCCATGACCAATAGACTCGCCGAAGTTCTAAAAAGGAAGGGATTTCCAACAAGATATTATACAAATGATTTTTTTTTATTAAAACGCCAACTGTGCCAATAATTTTGTCTACCCAAAAATAGGGTGTAAAACTTTCTTTTGTTGTTGTTGTTGTTTATATAAATGATTATATTTTATATTTCTATGTAATACTAAGTAGTAAGGATGTTAATTATTATTTTTCGTGAAACAACTGAATAAAATTTTTGTTTTAAATTTACCTAGACCATAATATTACTTAATAGTATCAAGTGTGCCAATACTTTAGTCCATCACTGTATACCAATAATATGATTTTTCTGATCGACCCAACTCTATAATTGGTGAAATTGACGTGACGTAATTATTCATCGTTTAACTAATGTTCCGTAATAATAACGTATTCTACATCTTTACTATTTAGAATGACTTGAAAAAGATCAATTTTACTCCCCACCCCTCGTATGTTAATGTTGAGTAGCTGCAACATAGGCTGAACACTCTGTGGACTGGTTCCAATAAGTTGTCCATGTATTAAAACTGATCCGCCTTCCTCGAAATTATTTTGGGTTATATTGGATGCGTTTTCCTATATTGGATTTCTTAAAATCTGTCGGCCGTACCGGTGTAAATACTGCTTTACTTATGTTTTATAACACAAATACTCTTTTTTCCGAATCCCATGACGGGTTTTCTTTTAAAATAGTTGATACATCTGCAATAATAAGTGCATTAAACGGAATCAAATCGACAGCTGCTGGAGCTGATGAAGTAAATATCATATTTATTAGAAACACATGTGAACACTTGCCTTGAGCAATCAGTATTTCCTGATGCCTGAAAGTCTGCTGTTATAATTCCCTCACCTAAGAAAGTTATTCCTTGTAACTTCGAGAACCTACGTCCTATCAGTATTTTTCCAGTTCATTCCAAAGACTTAGAAATTTAGACCTAGTCAAGATAGGTCTTAGATTCAATCCGGTTTTCGACCTAGTTATAGTTGTGCCACTGCCTTATTAAACGTCACTGATGATCTCTTGAAGGCTCGTGATGAGGTCAGAGTGGAGTGGTTGTGCTTCTAGATTACAGCAAGGCCTTCGACAAAGTCAACCACCGAATGCTGTTATCCCAATTGCATTATGTTGGTATATCTGATTCGGCAGTATCTCTTATAAACAGCTTTTTATCTGGCCGAATTCAGGTGGTGAGACTGGATGAGGAATTTTCAGCTCACTTACCCGTGGAGGCTGGTGTGCCTCAGGGATATTCGTAAGCTCCGCTACTATTTACTCTGTACACTTCTTAACTGCCCAAATGCGTTAGACACTCATCAGTACACATGTACGCTGATGATATTCAGCTGTATTAGACTTTTCGAAGAAAGCACACTGCCTTGCCATGTACAAAATTGAACGCAGATCTTTTAGCACACTCCGTCAAAATGGCACTAACACTTAATGCAACCAAATCAACAATAGTTACCTTTGGCAATTTACTATCTCATGAATATTTCAATGTCAATGTTTCATTGAATGGTGAGCGACTGGTTGTGCCTGCAGAGAAGGAATTAGGCGGTGGTGTTTGACTCTAATCTTCGTTTCACTACTCACGTCACTGCTTGTATAAGGAAGGCATGTGTCTGTCGACACCGTCGGGTACTTAACTCCACCATTAAAAGACACCTATGTGATACGTTAGTTTTATCTAACTTTGTGCATTGTGCGATTCAAAAAGTTCAGAATGTCTTCGTTTCATTTACGGGATCAGAAAGCATCAAACTATATCTCATACTATAAGCAATATACGGTGGTTGAACATTAGAAACCGTTTTAAATACTATTTCCTGTGCCTCGCGAGTAAGGTAGTTATCACGAAACCTTCACCTTACTTGTATAATAAAATCACTTTTAGGACAGACTTTTTTTATTTGTAGTCAATAAAGTGGTTATTATTATTATTAAATAGCCAGATGTTCTGTTACAGATCAATTGAAACTTTCTGTAAATGTGGAATACATTAATTTTATGGTTTAAAACAAAAACAAAAAGAAGTCGAAGAATCCTTTGAAGTATGAAAAATAAAATTTATGGTTTCGTGAATATACGAGCATTTGAAAAGGGAATCCGAATAACAAAGATTCGGTTTGCCATTCCTGATTTCCAACTGAAATCTGCATTCTATCGATCTAAAAATAGACATAGAAGCGTAGTATAAATTGGCATGAAGCCTATATTATGAATCTCAAAAGTACAGTATCAACGGCATATATACACCACCATATTAATAGTAGTTTAGCTTCAAATCAATAAACACACACTTTAAGTTATAACTTTTTACTCAAAAATGCCTAATAAACTTACATATTATTACCACCTTCAAGAAGAGACTTCAACCTTTAGTTTTATATGAAACTCATTTCTTAAATCTCAAAAATATAGCTTGTACGATGTTTTGAATCTAAATAATTTTTAGTAGGTTAATTTAAAATAAAAAAGTAGGTACACAATTAAACACAAGTTCATTAATTTTTTCTCGAAAAGTTTCAATAAATCTACATAACTTTATATATCATCTAAAAGAAGAGACATCGAGCTTTAAATTGATATGAAACTTATTTCTTAAACCTCAGAAATACAGATTGTACGATTTCTTGAATTTTGATCATTTTAAGCAGGTTAAGTATAAATTAACAAACACACAATTTTGTTCACATTTTTTTCTGTGAAAGTTTCAATAAATCTACATAACCTTACATACTAGTGGTGGAACGGATATCCGGCAACTATCCGGTATCCGGCCTATCCTGCAATTTTTGTAAAATCCGGCCAGATACCGGATAGTTACCAAATATCCGGCTTTGGCCTATTACTTAGTACTCCACCATTCACAGGAATTAGTATCTCTTTTAGGTGTTGGACACTGCAGATAATAATCAACTTCAATCCCAACAGGACTATTTTCATTGAATACAACCTTATTTATATCAGGTTTGTCATTAGCAACTCGCCGATTAAGTTTTAAAAATTCGTATAAAATCCATTTCTTGGAATATGAGTATGAAAATTCCTGTTTTCAATGAACCAACACGTTTTGAAAATAACTTTTAGTTTTTGAGAAAACAATATTTGACATTTTGATAAAATTTTCGATGTTGCAATTTTCATCGATAACTTTCAAAATTCGCTATAAAATTAATTTCTTGAAGGAACATTGTGGAAATATCACCAATTATTAATTAAAATATCCTCTTTTTGATGCCGAATATCCGGTATCCGGCAAAATCACTATCCGTTCCATCACTATTACATACCATCCTAAAGAAGATACTTCAAGCTTTAAATTGATATAAAACTTATTTCTTAAATCTCGAAAATACAGACTTTACGATTTTTCAAATTTTGATTATTTTTAGTAGGTTAAGTTTAAATAGAAAAGTAGGTATCAATAAATCTTTATAACCTTGTAAACCATCTTAAAGAAGACGCTTTAAATTATAAAACTTATTTGTTAAATCTCATAAANTTAAAGTTTCTTTCTTGAATCTGCACCTTTCCAGAAAATTCCAAAGCAGGAATTCGAAAGAATTTCACAGAGCTTCAAATGATGAAGTTTTGGACAACAAAACAAGAATGGTATGTAGACCTTTAAATTTATTAGTACATTGTACAGATTCCTAATATCTTTCCATTTTTTGATTATCTTCTCAGATTCTGTATCTTATGCTTTGTTGCCAATCTAAAAATATAGTAGGAATTAACCTGTTGTCAGTAGAGGTGACGCCGCAGAGGGGGAAAATTCTTACAAATAGATATATTTAGTGATTGTAATTTAGTAAGTAAACTTTTTTATTGTAATACCGGTATTGAGATTTTGGTCCGGTATTGCAAGCCCTATCTGTAACCAAGCTGAATGAAAAGGAAAGCACGTTGGTAGATGCAAGGATTTCATTAATAGTATTCTGCCTGGTTATGTTATCAACCACCACAGGAGGATCCACAAAATACTCCGCCAGAGCAGCAGTATCAAGGGTGGGTTGATTTGTGGGAGACTCTATAACACCAAGTGATCGTATTGTTTTCCAAAATATCTTATGAGTGGCTACAGACAACCTCTGACAATAGTGCAATCTTTTAGCCTCATCGATGATTACGTTCCCGATTGGCAGCAGAAGGGCTACGTTTGAACAATAACTTAGCACGATTGCGCTCCCGCTTGAGAGACCTAATCTCAACATTTAGCCAAGGTGCCGACATGTGTCTCAATTAATCTGCATAACCTTACATACCATCCTAAAGAAGACACTTCAAGATCACTTCATCATTTTGTTCATTAATTTTTTCTCGAAAAGTTTCAATAAATCTTTATAACCTTGTAAACCATCTTAAAGAAGACGCTTTAAATTATAAAACTTATTTGTTAAATCTCATAAAAACAGACTTTACAATATTTTGAATCCTGATTATTTTTAGTTGATGACGTTTTTTAGCCTTACGTAAAGTGTGATAAAAAGAAAATAATTATTTTTGAATAAAAGATAGAAAACAAAATCTTATTGAAAGCAAAAATATCAAAATAACTCGCAATTAAGTGTATACACAATCTTTATCTTCTATACCATCCTTGAATCTTTTAATCGTAAAGATTATAGAAAATTATGAATAGAAATTATTACACAATTATTTAAGATCGTGATGATGTAACCCATTGACGTCAACATATTAACGTTTAAATTAACCTAACTAAATCAAAATTAAGTCACTAATATGACACATCAAAATTAATAATGCATCTTATCAAAAATATTAACTTATTCGATTATAACAAAATGTTAAAATGCCAGAAAAGTCGCCGTATAGTTGCATAATCAATGGAAAACACGCGAATATAAGCGATTATCCTTTTTATGTTTATATCGACACCGACCGATGTTATTGCGGCGGTGCTTTATTATCTAGAAACGTGGTTTTAACCGCAGCTCATTGCGTATCCAAGTCATCAATATCAAAAATTAAAGTCATTCCCGGATTGAGGAAAAGAAAGCAATCGAAACGAACAGTATATCGACCGAAAGAAGTTATCATTCACCCAAAATATTGTATCGACGATTGTTATGATATAGCTTTGCTAATTTTAAACAGTAATGTGAAACCTTGCGGTTGTATTGATATTATCGATATAAGTAGTTGTAAACCGTGTGTGGGAGATGTGGTTACGGTTGTTGGTTATGGATACACAAAGCTTTTAAGGGATAAATACGGATGTTGTTTACCAACACCTTCTAAATATTTACGTTCTTCACGCAGGAAAATAATGTGTTTTGAAGGACCGATTATGAATACTTATAGTAATAACTCAAGAACTTGTTTGGTGAGGAATTAATCCTTGTTTTTAATTTATTAAAAAAATATTTTTTGATTTATTTAGGGTGATAGTGGGAGTCCGGTAATTTATAATGGAGAACTTGTTGGGATTCATGTCAGTGGAGAATATTATTGTGGAAGGACTAGTTATCACATAACATTGGCACATCCAAAAATCTATTCGTTTTTAGTTGATAATTTACCGTTTCTAGACCAATAAAATTGTTTGTATTAATCACTTAATTTTTAATTAATTAAATGTACTTACTTAAATAGTAACTGGAATCCTTGACGATTTCCGAAGGAGTAGTAAGCGTCGTTAGGCCGAAGTCCGATATTTTCAGGACGAAACGACCGTCGATTAAGCAATTGCACGAACGCAATTTCCCGTGGACAGATACTTCGGAATTGTGTAGGTAACTCATCCCCTAAGGGAATTAAAGTAGGAGGAGAAATCAGTCCCAATTTTAAAACTTCACGTGTCTCATCTCATTACCTTAACCACGTCGTGGATCAGCGACATCCTGAAATTCCAATCCAATTGGATTGCCTCATTTTCCAGTACGTCTTTTAAACTCCCCTTGGGACAATATTCGGTTAAGATAAGCACGGTTGGACATTCGATACACGCTCCTATAAACCGCACCGTATTTTCATGCGTAACATCTCTAACCTTTAAAAGAGTTCATTAATTACTTTTAATTTAAGATTAAAAAAGAATTAATTAACCTGCTTAATTTCCCATAAAAGTTTTTTGTTAATATCAACTTTTTTCTTCGTTATCTTCTTAATCGCCACTCGACTTCCTTTATAAATCCCAACAGTGGTAAAAACTTGCGATGGTAATAAAGAGTTGTAAGATGTTATCGATGCTCTTCCACTTCTTAATCCAAATGAGGTATAAAAATCGACTTCGGTGATTTTCTGGAGACCTGTTTTTGAACCGAAAGCTTTTCCTACTTCTAATAATACCTCTTCAGGACGAATTTTCCATCGCATATTATTTAAATCAGCCGCTAAACGCATGTGTCTATAAAAGAATTGAACAGCTTTAAAGAAACTTTATTAAAAATAAGTTACTCACTTATACGTTATGCACACTAAAGTTAATGTAAAAGCAGTGAAAACTCCCACTGCGAAGCATCCATAAAGAATCATAACGTACGATTCTTCATTTTAAGCAGCAAATAAGATAGATAGTGTTTAGATTAAGATAAATTAATAGAAAAGTTAAGAAAATAAAGAAAGTCTTTTTTAAACAAACCGTTATCTTTGCAATCTGGATGATTTCCTAAGAAACCACATTTAGGGATATCCGGAGGGGGTTCTTCAATTCCACCGGGCCAATGTATTTTTTGTCCAGGAACTTGAGAATATTGGCGATGTAATCCTTTGTAATGGGCGACAACCTCGAATTTTCCAGTGATTGGATCCAAATCCAAAATTGAATAATCAGCGTCTCTATCTCCATTATCATCAATCCTAACGTGACCTGTTATACCTAAAGAACAATAATTTATTTTTGAATAACAAATAATTTTAACCCGGTTTATTTATGAAAGCCAGATCAGATTGTAAATGATAACATTGAACCACCTTTTTTGAAATTATTCTACAAATGAGTTTAGTTATCATAATAATATTTGAGACGGTTATTAACTTGGTAATGTCTCATACCTTGCTACCAATACAAACGTTTTAATTTATATAAATGATATAAACATAGATTGGTTTCGCCGAAGAAGTAAGCATAATTTTGTGCAACGCGATGTGTAACATGTCAAATAAAGCAATTGAGTCTATAGGGAGCAATTTGAATGCAAAAACTCTTAGATATATGTATAGCAGAGAGGTAAACAATCGTATCCCCATTATAGAAACTTTTTAGAAATGAGCAAAACAACATTTATAGCTATTTAACCCTGGAACTACACACTGGGGTCAGAGATACCCAGTAATAAAGAAATCAAGAAACATGCCGCAATCGACCTCAGCTTATATTTTTATCAGTCCTAAAAGATGTAAGCCAGAGTTACGATTTTTTATCATATTAACTCTCTACTATAGATATATAACACCCGGGAGGCTACTGAGGGAGGTTATTAAGAACAGTGTTTCCAGAAGATATGATGGCAATTCTCATAACAAGAGACGATATGAAAGTCGAACCAAACTTTGTTGAAATTACTTCCAAACGAACCCCGAGATCTCGAGAGGAGCGCACAATGCCTAATCCAAGGATAGATATCTGGCCAATGTTTGTCAACATATTTGATGAATACGTCGTCAAGGTGAACTGAGTCAAGTCAAGTCTGTATAGAGTCAAGACTCCACCAAGTGTGCATCAATACTGCATCTAGCAGTACATCAAAACTCCTTCAAGAATGCATAAAAAAATTATGCATCATGGCTTTGGAGTCTGCTTCAAATTTCCATTATGCCTACCTACTTGAGAGATACAGTAAGTATGCATCAAATCTACTTTAAGTTTTCATTTTGCTTGTAGACTGTTGTATGCAGACTTCTTAAAAAGTTTACATCATCTCCTCATTCTCGTTATCACCTCGTTTTTGTTAAGTCAAGTCTGTACAGAGCCATCACCAAGTCTGCATCTTGAAGTGCATAAAGACTCCTTATAATCGTCAATAATCGTAATCCCTATAATCATCTTATATATTTTTTTTAAATCTTCATAATGGACTTTATATATGCAGTAAACCTCCAGTAATTCTACCTTATATTGCATTCATTGGTAAAGTCTCCATAATCCCTACATCGATTTGTCTCCACCGGATTTCTTTTTGTGTAGGTATCTGAATCACTCCATTTAAGCAAATATTTTAAATCGTGTAAAAGTCAGAATCAAAGAAGTGCAGTGAATAACCCTTCATAATACAGGAAATTGTTACGAAGAATTTAAAAATTTTCTAGGTAGCTATATCTTTTTAAATATCTCTGTATGAGATGAGATGAAACTCAAATTTGTACATTTTAAAATTAACTTCCTGAGCAGAAGTTAGGTTACGAAATATTCGAATGGCATAAGATGAGAACGTAGAAAAAGGTACCTTGGATATCCTCATGTACTCCTCCTTAACCATGCCATATACATTGTGTTAATTAATTATATTATCGTTCCACAGTGCAATACGCATCATACGTAAATCGCATATTGCAATACCAATACTGTGATATTGGTTGCATACTTGTAATGATGACGTCGTGTACGATAATTAATTAACACACTGTACAGGGTGTCCAAATTTCGATGGGTTTGCAGGGTATCTCAGTTATTATGAAAGATAGAAAGTTGCGGCTTTCGCGCGAACCTGAGTTACTTTTTTGTGAAACTTACAATGGCGCAAACCAAATTTTCATAGCCCTCTTCATTTTTGATATACAGGGAGTGTTTCAAAATTTACGATTTTCAAACACCTCCTGTATCTCATCTATCCGGAAACGTAAAAACGGGTTCTAATAGATTTTTTCACGTAGAATCCAATGGTGCACGTAGAATTTTTCTAGTCATCACGGTTTTTGAGTTATAAAGAGTTAACTATTTTAGAAGTTGAGTATTCAGTATTTGAGTTGTGTTTATAACTCAAAGACCGTGACGACTAGAAAAATTCTACGTGCACCATTGGATTCCACGTGAAAAAAATCTATTAGAACCCGTTTTTACTTTTTTACTAAGTTTCCGGATAGCCGAGATACAGGAGGTGTCTGAAAATTGTAAATGTCAAACACTCCCTGTATATCAAAAACGAAGATGGCTATGAAAATTTGGTTTGCGCCATTGTAAGTTTCACAAAAAAGTAGCTCAGGTTCGCGAAAGCCGCAACTTTCTATCTTTCATAATAACTGAGAAACCCTGCAAATCCATCGAAATTTGGACACCCTGTACACCTTCTTTCTATACATGCATTTCTGCTTACACACATTCCTGACCTTCAATGACTGACCTGACCTTCCTAACACTCCTATACACCATTCTCATGCGCTCATTATTCCTACTCATCCATCCCAGCTCTATTCTTTTTCTTCCTCTCGAATAACCTCATTTACTACCTCCATCGCTATATTATTGTAATTTAACTCCATATTTCTTCCACACTCTCTAAACTCCACCAATTCTAGATCCAACCTGATAACTAGTAGCTCTCCCTGCAAAATATTTATCCTTCATGCACACCCTTTTCAATTACCTTCCGCCCCATTCTTGTAAAAGTTCACAACGTCAGCGCCAGTAATCCTCATGTATCTCACTATAACACATCATAATTAAATCTCTCTCTAGGTGCTTTTTACCACAACAGCTTTCGGACCACCCCCCGAGAGCTTTACTTTCACCATCACTCCTTTCAATTCTCTCGCAGTCATCTTCTAGTCGTCTCCTACTCCTCTCTTATCTTTGCTTGACCAAATGAATCATCTTTAGGTCTATCTGCAGCGAAGTACTTGAAGAACATTTCCTCCAGTGTTCCTTTCTCGCCACTTCGCACTGGTCATTAACACTTTCTGTCATCTTGATCTGCTCAACCTCCATACTTCCATCCATCGCTTATTTCTCACACTATTTCTTATACTCCCTCCTAGCATCCAAGAGCTGCCGTTTTACTCTGTTAACCTCCCTCACCTATTAAACCTAACTCGTCAGTCGACCATACAATAATCACTCAACGACAACTCATCGAGAATGGACCATCTGTACAACTCGCCCGCCTTAATGACCATGATGTCAATCCAGTTAGAGCCATTCGCGGTCTAGAAGGTTAAGTCGCCATCGTACTTGTTGACTACCATCTTTTTATTGATTACATTCCACTCATTCATCACCTCAAACATCCAAAATCCTGCCAACCTAGGCCGAGTGTCTAACCTAAATCGCCCTCTTGAATGATCAAGGAGTCACGACTGAGTCGTCTTAACGTTTTGAGTTCCTTCTTATTTCTCTCTGGAACTTCCATAGGGCTTGATTTAATTAAGTGTTCAAACTTCTATAGGATTTTTTTTTCCACATTCTTATCTGATGGTAAAACGCTTCCAAAAATGTCCACAGGAAAACAACAAATTTATATTATAATTGGATAACTTAATACCTTGGGATTGAATTTGCAGATTGTCAGAGGGCAGGGTTGCGGCAACGGTATGTATGTGAGAGGCAATAAAGAAGGAGTACAATCTAAAATTACACAATATATTTCACGAGTATTTTATGTTCTTTGTGATATCCACTCTCTTAATTTTGTTGTTGATGACAATTTCTTCAACATGGAAATGAGTAATCTAATAAGAGACAAGGCCTCAGGTTTGATAAAATGTATGAAACAATAAATTTAATTTTGTGTTCATTAGTTATTTGGCTTAAAATACTAAATTCCTTCAATCCAAGATTTTGCAAGTTGATCTAAACAAAAAAAAAGATCTAGCTTCTGCAGTTGTTGACATAAATGTGAAAAAGAAATTCTAGGCAATTTTGCCACAAATCTTATTATTGCTAACGATATAAATAACTATAGAAAGTAGCTAAAGCAGTTTCTTTACACTAAAATTAATTACCATAGAAAATGGTCTTAATGGTGCGGATTTTCACAATTTTGCATGAATTTGCTGGAAAGAAAAAATTTAATTTAAAGTATGTATTTTCTTTTAATTCTTTAAATGCTTTTTGTCGAACTCATACTGAGCATTTGAAGTTCTAACATTCAAGTACAACTCAATTTTATATGTAATTATTCGCTCAGAGTTTAGTGATATGAAGATGATATCAAGTATACTACACAGCTTATTTGTCTAAGAATATTGAAGTTAAATACATTTTTTTGCATGTGTCATTCTAAACTATCAAAGCAAGAATGTGAAATAAAAAAATGATTGACATAATAAGAACAAGAGAAGAAACTCTCTTAAAAAAACAGTTTTCAAGGTGTGCAAAAAGCGCCGCATAAAGATAGGACATTGTTGTGCATGGTATATAATGCACAAACATCTGTAGATGCAACCTGAATTTGCAGAATCTGTCTAAAAACGCTAACAGATCAATTTCTGTTACAGGAGACACAATATTTAAATGAGAACAAACCGCGCTTCTGTTGGCGCCTTTCCATTCGTGCGATCAACCTTATCATCACGCAGCAAATTATGGCGTAATTCACTTTTTGCATTTAACACGATTTCTTTAAGCCACGTTTCGGTAATAGCCATGATGTCATACTCACTGAAAAGGAAAGATTTATAGCTAGAAGTTGATTGTTTTAGTAATTCATGCCACGAATATTTTGAAGAGATATTCTAAGTACACCATTCACAAAATAGAGAAATAAATCCTTCACCGTTCCTCAATTTATTGTGACTATTCTTTTAATAAGCCCCGTTTATATATAATTAGTAATAATAAGACAGTAATAAATTATTACTGTCTAAGAGCATGATCTCAGTTCATAAATACATTTTCAAACTTTGTAAAGTTCCGCAATATGACCTAGTCAGCCTTAGTTACAAGAGACTCAGAAAGTATCTCTTCAAAAAATGTTGAAGTTTGTATCATTTAATACCACATCTTCTTCTCTAGCAAGGTTAAAACTACAATATTCTAACTACAATATTTTGGAGAGATTGCAGAAAGTTTGAAATATATTTTACAATATAAAATAGCATCAATCAAATTTTAAATCTTTTAAAACCCGAAAAAAATGGTTCAAACGCTTCGTGATATCCGTCTGGTTACATCGATTTAAGTTTTACCGAGCTTTAGTAAAAGTAACGTGTTGGGAAAAGCAAAAGGGTCTTTAAGAAAAGGATGTAAAGCCCACGCAAAAGTCGCGTCGGTAATCGCCGATGAAAAATCATAAAGAAAAAAATCTACACGCTTCGCAAAGCTTTCACAGACGTTTTTCGGTCGATAATACCGTGAAAATCTCGGTTCCACATCCGTCTGGTGATTGCCAGTCCGTCTCTAATATCTTCACCCTCGGTGATCGTTTCGTTTAGAGCCATTCCAAGTAAATACACACCATCGTAGAAAGCTCCGATCACGAAATTCACCTAAAAATAGCGACACGAAACGGGGTCAAACAACTTTTAACTAAAGTCAATTAATTAGGGGAATAAAAGAGTTCAATATGAATTAAGACTTTTATTTCACCCCAATTTATCAAAATACGATGAGAATTTACCTCTTCGCCTTCGCTGATGGTGTAGTTATAATCGAGTTGGGCGCGTTCCTTCACGCGATCGGCGAAATCTTGAAATTTATCACTCGTCGGTTGTAAAAGGGATACGCGGAGGAGTGCTTCGAATGCTTTTCGTGCTTTTGAATCGTTTTTATCGCCGGCTTCCCAATCGTGATCGCCCCAATAAGCACCCTAAAAGATTTGAATTAATAACAATAAGGGATAAAAAAAGCGATTAAGTAAATACAAGTTTTTGAAGTGATTTCTTTATGGTTATAAATTACCTTGAAGATTTCGACATCGAGAAAAGTCCAATCACCTTTTGTCATACCGAGATCATGTGCGACGAGCATAAATTTTCTTACCAAAACTCCCCTTACGCTCAGAATAACTACTATAAAAAAATTGTTTATGAAAGCTTTATAATTCTATGTAAAAAGTGAAAAAGATAAATTTTAGCGTTGATTTAGAGTATAATATGTATATATATATATATATAAAAATATAAAATTTAGGTATTTAAATAAAATAATTTATTTCTCGCTAAAAAATTTAATGTAATCAGTACCGGTTTCGGCTAGTAGGCCATCATCAGCTGAATCTACAATAATATTAAAATAAATAACCAGAAAATATAAAACCGAAAATGAAAAACTTTAAATATAAAATAAAATATACAAAATTATAGACTTACATGATAAAATAACAAGAAAACACACTACAATGACAAATGAAATGACAAACTAACAATAAATTTAAGAACGCAGATCTAGTTATTATTAATAGAGATGAATATTTAGCTAAAACTTACGATTTCATATCTAATAACAATTATATAAAACTTAAAGAGAATCCTGTAGACGCATCGTTAAAGATACAAAGGATATTGTAAAAGCAAATAAATATTTCCTAAAGGATCATATCCCATATTGTTTAAATATCAATTACCTGTCACGATTCCTTATTCCCATGAACCCAATTATCCCTTACATTTCATCGTTACCTAAACTTCGCAATCCTGGAATTCTTATTCGCCCCATAACTTCATATATTAATTCACCTACAATAGAACTCTCAAAGTTAATGCTTAAATTCTTTAAACAAGTTAAATTTATTCCCAAATATTCGATAAATAACTCAAAATCCTTCATTGACTCCATCAAGGACATTGACCTCAATAATAACATCATGATTTCTTTTGACATCACTAATTTGTACGCCAACATCCCCATAGATCTGACACTCCAATTAACATCTAAGATATTTAAGAACTTTTTCGATGATAACGATATTACCGACCATCTTAATAATATCCTAGAACAGTGCTATTCAAACTATGGGTCGCGACCCACAATGGGGTCGAGAAAAGTTTTTTCGGGGTCGCAAGGTGGATGAAATAATGAGCTATCGTATAGCAAAATCTGGCAAACCGTACACAATTGCTGAAGACTTAATTGCTCCAGCAGCCCAAGATATAGCAGCCATTATGTTTGGCGAAAAGGAAATGCAACAAATATCTCAAATACCACTCTCGGATACAACAGTTAGCCGCAGAATATTTGAAATGGCAGAAAATGTGGAAAACGAAATTATAATGAGAATTCGAAAAAGTAAATTTTTTAGTCTTCAATTGGATGAATCTACGGATTGCCAAAATGCTGCACAACTAATTTGTTTTGCAAAATATGAATACAAAAATGAAGTAGTTGACGACTTTCTTTTTTGCAAGGAACTACAAAGAACTACGGGTGAAGAAATTTTTAAATCGGTAAACTCTTACATCACGGGAAACAATATTTCTTGGGAAAATTGTGTGGGTGTGTGCAGTGATGGAGCTCGTGCCATGGTTGGAAAACACAGCGGACTTCTAGCCCGAATCAAAGAAGTTTCACCCAATGTAACATGGGTTCACTGTATGATTCATAGAGAAGCGCTTGTATCGAAAAACATGCCACCGAACTTAATGTCTGTCTTAGATACTGGAGTTAAAATAATAAATTTTATAAAGGCGCGTCCTCTGAACTCAAGGATTTTTGCGCACATATGCAAAGAAATGGGTAGTGAGCATCAGCATCTTCTTTTACATACAGAGGTTCGTTGGCTTTCGAGGGGTAGGGTTCTAACGAGACTATTTGAACTTAAAGAAGAAGTGTTTGTGTTTTTAAATGATAATGATAAAGACAAAAAATTTACAATCTTTTTAACCGATGAAGAATGGCTATGTAGGTTAGCTTACTTAAGTGACATTTTTCTCAAATTAAACGAGTTGAATTTAAGTCTTCAAGGTGAACAATTAAATATATTAGTGGCCAATGATAAAATTAAAGCCTTTACAAAAAAAATAGATTTGTGGTGCTCATACTGCAAGGAGAATAATTTTGCAGCATTTCCAACATTAGAATGTTTTGTTATAGAAAACAAGTTCAAAGTTATTCAATCGATTGTTAAAGATATAACATCTCACTTGACAGATTTAAAATGTCAATTTAGTACTTATTTTCCGGAAGATTTTTCTAACTTTGACTGGATTCGAAATCCCTTTCAATGTAAATTACCCATTTCATTTTAGTGAAAAACTAATTGAGTTATCATCTGATGGAGAATTAAAATTAATTTTCAAAGAACTTAAATTGAGCAATTTTTGGCTTAAAGTTCGAAATGAATATCCAGAACTGTCTGATGAAGCTCTGAAGGTATTATTACCATTTGCGTCATCTTATATGTGCGAGTTGGGATTTTCCCAATTTCTCTACCTAAAATCGAAATACCGAAACAAAATAGCAATAGAGCCACCTTTAAGACTCAAATTGAGCAAAATAGAGCCAGATATATCAGCACTTGTAAATAAGAAACAGGCTCACAGATCTCATTAAATATTTTTCTTTTGTATTGATTTTTGATGAAGTTCCTACGTGTACGCCATATTATAATTTTAATAGTTATAAATCGTTAATGTTGATTTTGAACCTAATATTTGTTAACTGCAGAGTGGATATTCTGTTTATTGTAGGTACTTGTTTTAACATAATATATTTGCTATATATGAAACAAAAAAAATAAAAACAAATTAACATCTTCTTGATATAATAATACCTCTCCCAATTTTTGGAACAACTAGAATTAAATTATTATTTTAAATTTGGGTCGGCATGTCACCTTTGTGTACCATTTGGGGTCATGCAGCCAAAATGTTTGAATACCACTGTCCTAGAACATATAGTAAAACAAAACTATTGTACTTTTAATAATAATTATGTATTATAAAGTTTCAGATGACCTCCCAATAGGAATGCCTTTATCCGGCTTACTTGCCGATATATTTTTGGATTTTATTGAAAATACAAATACAGGGTGATTCAAAAAAAAACCGCTGACAGACTTCTAGAGTAGATAATACAAGAAAAATTAAGATGAATAGTCTTAATATATATCGAGTCGCAAATGCCTTCTTAACGAGATATAGCGGGTCAAAGTTTCTTTAAAATTAAACATTATCTGCAATAAAAAGCCCTTTTTTAAAAATATTGTCTACGCTATTGCTAATTTTGTCAAACGGGCAGTATTTTCGTGTAAAGCGATCAACAAAACTTTGATCAAAGCAATAGTTTGTAAGAAAAACACGTTTGTAGAAAATTTGTTATCCAATCAAAACCTGTTGCTTTAAGGAAAGTTTTGTAAGAGACCAATTGATAGATAATTGATTACTTAATCAGCCTGTATATGTAATGATGTGAACCCTTATTGTAAGAATATTATTATGTGGACACGTTACGTTGATGATGTCTTCTGCGTTTGGAATGGCGATATTGATACCTTTAATTTGTTCCACAACTACATTAACGAACTTCACAATAAATTGAAATTTACTATAGAAATGGAACAAAACAATAAATATTCTGGATCTCACTATTTGCAATAAAAATAATCGTCCTTGTTTCAGCATATACAGAAGACCGTCTTCTGTTCCCATCACTATTCCATTTGATTCATCTCATCCTCTAACTCATAAAATGGTCAATTATACATTTTGAATCAACAGAATTCATAATTACTCTCTTAAACAATTTAGTTGTAATTAAACTAGAACTAACACTACACCTAGATCTAGAAACTTTCGAGTTAAGCCGTGCGTTTTTTGAAAAAATATTTGACGTTTCGGATGCCATGTTGCAACCTTCTTCAGAAACAAGATCGAAGTGACGAATTCGGTTAAAATTTGACAATAAATACATGAAAAGGTAATTAATAACTAATTAGTGTCTAATTGTCAACTAAGTTGTTTTCATCAAATCAAAATTATTGTCAAAAAACCTATCAGCTAGCAAAACACCTTTCCAAGATTCTGTCTCCTTTTACAGGTAAAACAGAGTCATATGTTAGAGATTCCACACATTTTGTAGAATCAATTAAGAGTATGAAGCTAGACCCTCAGGATATGCTGGTAAGTTTCGACGTATAATATCTATTCACCAGAGTACAAGTCAAAGATGCCGTGGATGGTCTTCGCCAGAAACTCATCCCGGAGGGTTTGCCCAAGTATGTCTCAGAATTAGTGGATTAGCCGTCGACATATTTCAGCTGGAAGGGGGAATTCTACGAGCAATGCGAAGGAGCAGCCATGGGATCACCTCTGTCTCCTATGATAGACATTTTTTACATGGAGATGTTTGAAGAGGAAGCGTTAAGAAGAGTCCTTGGAAACCGAAGCTATGGCTCCGTTACGTCGATGACGCTTTCGTGATCTGGCAACATGGAAAAGAGCAACTCCATTTCTAGACCACCTCAATTCACAGCACCCCATGATAAAATTTACCATGGAAACAGAAACTGCAAAACAGTTGCCATTCCTAGATGTGTTAGTCACTAGGAAGACAGATGGGGGCATTGAACTGGGATTATATCGAAAGAAGACGCATACGAATAGGTACCTGCAGGCTTCATCCCACCACCACCCACAACAGAAGAGGTCCGTGATTCAAGCCTTATTCCAGCGAGCAGAGAGGATATGCGATAAAGAGAACCTAAGAAAAGAAGAAAGATTCCTAGAAGATTTGCTGCAAAAGAACGGCTATACGATGAGAGACTTGGTAAGTACGACACCAGCCGGTTTTATCTGCCTGATAGCCAAAGGCAAACTAACCCTATTAAAGGGAGCGGGAGTCTATCGGCTATCATGCAGTTGCAGGAAATATTAACATCAAATGCCGCATCAAGGAACACGAGAGGGACGTCTGACTAAGGAAAATCCAACAATCTGCAGTCGCAGAGCATTGCCACAAAGAAGGACACAGCATAACGAAGCTTTCTGCACCCGGATTTGACAAAAACAGCTTAGTTGACAATTAGACACTAATTAGTTATTAATTACCTTTTCATGTATTTATTGTCAAATTTTAACCGAAATCGTTACTTCGAACTTGTTTCTGAAGAAGGTTGCAACATGGCATCCGAAACGTCAAACATTTTTTCAAAAAGCGCACGGCTTAATCCGAAAGTTTCTAGGTCAAGTGCTAGTTTTAGTTTAATTAACACCGACCGTGAAAACCTTCGTACTTATAATCTAGTTATAACTTAGAACTAAAATATATTTATGATCTAGCACATAACAATGGGTTTCCCATAAAATTAATATCTAAAATAATACAAAATTCACAAAGAAGGTCAAATCCCTTGTATGTCCAAACTATAAATACAAACCGCTTCATATCCATTCACTATCACCTCTCCCTTGAACCTTTCAAACATATCCTATCCAAATTTGAACTAAATCTTTCCTTCCACAATAAAAATTCTATTTTAAATATCCTATCCAATCACAATCCTAAGATTGAATTCTTAAATCAAAGTGGTATATATTCTGTTGATTGTTTTAATTGTAATGCGCGGTATATAGGACAGACTGGTCGAAAACTACAAACCAGACATAGGGAACACCAACAAAAACCAAATTCTGATATATTCCAAGGTCAAGTTGAAACCGGTCATAAGATCAATTTTAAAGGAGTTAAACTTTTACATCGTTGCAATAAGGGTCATAAAATGGACATAATAATAATGCAATTTATTAACCCTCAAAAATCTTTTACATATAAATCACTTTACATAATAAAGAAAAATATGAAGGTTAATTAGGTAGCCAGATCAGGCAACACCTTGGTAGTGAGGCCTGCTCTTCCCCTGTACTACAACATTGTACTACAACAAATAATTCATAACAGCGCAAAAAAAATTATATAACTAAGGCCCGTTACTACCAAGCCAATGCTATCTGATAGTTAAGCTATCTATAAGATACAATTTATCTCGTAGATAATAGGGTCGTGCGTACTACCACCTCCATTTATCTCATAGTTAAGAAATTCTTGAGATAACCAAGGAATCTAGGGATTTTTTGGTCTATTATGTTAAATTGATAGCTCTATGTGGTTAAAAGACCTACTATTAGGTATTTTGACGATATTTTAACCTTAAAATTAAAATTTGGAAATGGAGACTGAGAAAAGGCGACGAACCACCAATTTCACCAAAGAAGAATGCGAACATCTTCTTGAATTTGTTATCAAGTATAAAAACGTAATAGAAAACAAAAAAAGTGATGCAGTTACATGGCAAGGAAAGCAACAAATATGTGTATCTCGTATTATTGTATGTTAAAATGTGATGGTAAACAATAATGGCACAACTAACATGATAAACGACTGAAGATGCCAATTGTACACTCATTCCTGCAAAATCTGCTATGGATAGCAACATGTTACCTATTGCATAAAACCGAAGAGTCAGCAGCAAACGGTTTGAAGGAGGTACAGTCGTGTTTACTGGAAATGCGCACTCAAGGTCAAGCGCTGTTGTGAGATCCGACATGCCGCTGCCTAAACGGGCTGAGCCGAGCACACACGAAGCTCGTGGAGAAGGGACTTGTGGCGGTCCAGGTTAGCCAGCGGCATATCGGATCTCACAACAGCGCTTGACCTTGAGTGCGCATTTCCCGTGAACACGACTGTACAGCATTATTACTAAAATTTTGATGAATTTTACATTAAATAATAGGAATCAACAAATTACTTACGTCATGGATGGAGGTTTTATTACATCTTCTATTTGATTCAAAAGGTGATGAAAACTTTTTTTCGAGACACAAAATCTCAACTCTACTCCTTATTATCCTTTCGCTTCTTACAGGAAATAATTCATTGATTTCCATGATGATTTTATCTAATGTTAATTATTAATAGTTTTTTATTCAAGTTTATATTGCTTTTCTTATTTTAACCGAAATAGTAATTTATTAGTAATTTTATACGTCAATATAAATCCTACTTGAGGTTAGGTATTCGCAGTAATCCCTTAGATTACAACTTATCCGACACCCAATCCACGGGTTACAGATATTTTAAAAGTTATCCTTTGGATAGCGGTATCTATAAGATAAATACAGTGGTAGTAACCAATTTTTAAGCTATCCGATAGATAACGCTATCAGAGACTTTAACTATAAGTGGTAGTAGTGGGCCTAAGTGTAATAAGATAAAGTAATTCAATTGTCTGTCGCTCACATAGATACCGTCTGTATTTAATTCTAAAATTTGACACGTTTAAGACTTTTAATGGGCGAAAAAAGGTGTTCCAAAAAACTATGATGCCGTACGTAAATGAATTCCGAAAAGCAGTCGAATTTTGTCTTTTAAGATTTTGAAATAAACTACTCCTCTATGTAGAGTCATCGTATTATGCTATTACCACGCTCCGTCAACTTATGTGAAACTTTCTAATATTTTTGTATGCCATAAATCAGTCTGAGGTAACTATTCGGGACATACTGCACCCTTCTTTGATTTTCTTTAGTTAAGCAGGGACCCTAGATATACTTGAATATTATGAAATTTTTTAAAACAATACAAACGCAAGAATAGACATTATAAATGATCAGATCGAATTCCAGCGCAAACCACTTTTCAGCTATCTTCGTTAATTTCACTCCTTCTCTTTTATTCCAGTCTTGTTACTTAAATTTATTTTTAGTTTGTCATTTCATTTGTCGTTGTAGTGTGTTTTCTTGTTATTTTATCATGTAAGTCTATAATGTTGTATATTTTATTTTATATTTAAAATTTTTCATTTTAGTTTTGCTTTATACATTTTTTAAGATCTTAACTTATGTCTGAGTTTTTTGTTCATTTTGACAATAAGTTTTATCAGTTGTTTTAGGATAATTTCTTGTTATTTAATATTATTGTAGATTCAGCTTTTTTTTAGCGAGAATGAACTTATTTTATTTAAATAACTAAATTTTATATTTTTATATTTATTTACTTTTATAACTCGCAACATGGATTACCAAATATATTATATAATATAGAGTTATATACATATATATATATCATGGTTAAAATCGGTTAGAGTTAATTTAAAAATTACCTCTAGCATACATACTAGCATCTCTTAGATAATTGTCGTAAGATTCGTCATCGTTTCCGTCCAATTCTCTTACGAAAGTTAATAATCCTTCTTTTTTTAAACCATATTCCAAATTTTTACCTTTAAAAAAATGTATACAAAACTTTTATTGGGTAAGATACAAAAAAAATTGTATAATAACAAAAATGTATCGACGAGGATGGGATTCGAACCCACGCGGGCAGAGCCCATTGGATTAGCAGTCCAACGCCTTAACCACTCGGCCACCTCGTCTGCGTGGGTCAATTTCAGACATACGGTAATGATTTCAAGGTCATTCAATCATACAATTTTGTATCAGAACTCAATTAATTGATGAAAATCTATTAAGTACTTAAGATTATTTGCCACAAGTATCGTCAGAATATTTTTGTTAATTAATTATTAAAAATTATCATATCCAAAGAAAAGTAAGTTAAAAATATTTGTAAAGTAAAGGAAGCTAAAACTGTGAACAAAACGTTCTTACAGTTGGGGATGAGGACAAGCTTATTAGTCGAGTTCCTCATCTTGTAACCTAATAGATATGCAGTCCAACTCTGATAAATATTTTAAATTTATTATAGTATATCAATACCATCTTACTAACTTTGTAGATCTATTATATTAATCAATTTACAAAGTCACTCTATCTGGAGTACCTAATTTGCTACATTCTGGTAATAAGAAGGAATTTGCCTTCTTCTTCCTCTATCTCAAGATCATTGGGTCTGTTATTCCTGATAAGGTCTGCCGTTGAAATATCTCCTGAGAAATTGATTGCTAGGTGTCTCTTCATTTACAGCGGAAAATCTAAGCAAGAAAGACCCTAATCTGGAGTCTGCATTCTGGTGCCCAACATGTACATATTTATAAAACATTCAAGACATCCAATATACAAAGAAAGTTAGCAGCTCAAGGAATAATATAATAGATAGGTTAGAGACTAGAGATAAGGTAATAATTAGGGCCAAATAACACATACTTTTTACAGAAAGAAGAACACAAATATGCCTTTAACAACACTATAGAGGGCAGACATCAATGGTGGACTACATAATTACAATTCGAACAACACTTCTACCACAAATACTTTAGGTAAAAGCAGTCACATTCGGCAATAAAGGAACGGATCGTATCCTTGACCAATACAAGAATTAATTTGAACGACCCTAATTATTCAAAAAGCCACCCAAATTCATTGGAAAATATAACCTAAAATTATTGATATCCGAAAGCACACAGCAGGAAGCGTGAGAAGGCATCGAACGTAGGGACAACCTGGCAAAGCATTTAAAGATGTAACCAGAAGGCAGAAGAGGAAGCCATCAGTAAGAGGAAAGTTAAAATCAACGTAACTAAAACACCAAAAAACGGGTTTGCGAAGAGGTTAGGAATATGTCAGAACTAAAAAAAAGAGCTATTTATCCTATAAAAAAGCACACCATTCGTATAACAAATGAAGTAAACTCCAGAATAAAAATTATAAGGTGAGAATATTGAAGTAAATTCATTAGCGATACGAATTACAGCCTGTAGGTATGCAGCTGGTGTGGAAAATGCTTTGAATTCGAAAGAATCCACGAAGAATATTTACACACAAATATGGTGTCAAATTATGATTGGGAAAAATATTTTAAATCACTAAACACAGGAACTATTATAAAGATAGAAGTCAAAGAAAACCTTGAAAAACTGAAAAACATGAAATCTACCAGAACTGACAACATACCTAATGAATTGCTCAAATATGGAGGAATAGAACTAACAGAAAAGCTGACCTAGTTATTGAACAGAATGTTATATCAGCATATTCAAAAACGGCGAAAAGTTAGCCTGGAAAATTATAGAGGAATAACTCTTTTAAATACATCAATTAAGTTTTTTACAAGTGTAATAAAAAATAAGCTGGAAAATCTTATCAGAAATGCCGAAGACACCAAGGTTTTAGAAAAAGTAGCTCAATATCGAACGCTACCTGCTGATACAAAGAGGTGTGCCAGCTTACTTCACAAATATACTACACAAAGGTTCTAACAAGCGAGGGAATTTGTAAACTCTGTTATAGTAGATCTTTATTCTATGTGAAACGATATCAAAATTGTCCATGTCAAACCTTGGCATGGGAAGGTCACAACGGTCCATAAAGCGTGCAAATCAAGATATTTAAAATATGATCATAAATTGGATGGAAACCAATGAAATAGTCTGAATTTTTACGATTAATTCAAGCGATGAAAAAGAAATCTCTTTGGATGTCCAATCCAGATGTCCCTACCTAGATCAAAACTACTATCCAATATACTCAAGAACTTGGAACATGAAGAAGATCAGGAGCGCGCATTATTTAACAGTGATGACCAGAAAATGATATCTCCAGTTCACAATTCTCAATTTTATTCCAAACAGTTAGTTTCTACGTTTATTTCTGCCTTCGACTGAACTATTTTGAAGGCGAAGTTGGAAGCAATGCAGATTAATAAATGTAGTACACAGCGAATCTAATATTGGAATGTGTGAGAATAGTATTAGCTGATCTACCAGTAAACAAATACAATATTATGGACAAGAAATTGGCTTCCAGTAAAAAGCTCTCCATGAGTTGTAATCGCCCAAACCGTTAAAATGAAAATTCCTAATATTGACCATTCCAAAACAAACCCACAGACATTATTAGCTATTGCTTTAGATATTCAAGAAGAAGAATTAGGCTTGGTGCAACAGCAGCACAACTTTACTAGAAATCAACTTATTATATGTAACCAA